AAAGATTTCCTAAGATAGGTCCTGGGGGTCAGGTGCCCTGATTGCCAATAAGAAACTTCCGTTTGCAAAAAATGTTCAAAAGACACGTCTTAATATAGTCAGCCTGGAAAAGGGCTCTGAAATCTGAGGGCAACTGGTTTTTCCTGTATTGCCAAAGGGCAGATGTCAAACTACTGCATCAGGAGCTGAGATCTGTGTCAGCATGTGGACCCTTACACCAGCTTTCTGGGAATAGATGATTCCTATTTTCTCATTTCCCTTAAAAGATTGCAAGAGGACCTGTGTGCTTCTGAAAGAAGTTTTAACACTTCGGGACCAATTTGCCTTTTAAAAATTTGCCTTTGTGGATGAATGCTCCAGGGTAGTCATAATCTAGCCCTTCTAAATCCCTGCCTCCCAGCCAGAAAGAGACACACTTCTAGATGATTAGAGAACTTCAGGTGGGAACGTTACTCTGCTTCTGGCTTTATGCCTTAAAATATGACCTAAGGCAAGCTATCATTTCCCAGAAATGAAATATGTCATATGTTACTATTAAAGTGAACCAGAAAAAGAGCATTCTACTACAATAATGGATTTTGTTTAAAAAAAATGCAAATGTCAAATTCCCAAAGGAATAATACATATTTGATATTATTATTGGAACAGCAATACCAGTAATTGTATGAGGTACTTATATTTTGCTTTGTTCATCCAGTAAAGGGATTTTGTGTAAACCTTTCAGTAAAATTATTGTGTCAGAGGAAAATGAGGAACAGTGTTACTCATTATTCATGTAATCAACACATATTTATTGGGGTGTGACTGTGTGTTGGTTATCAGTCTTAATGCTGGAGATGCCAAAAAAAGCAAAAGGACTAGAACAGCTTCCTGCCTTCAAGCAGCACACATTCCAGATGAGGAGACAGATATAGCAATAACTACAGTGCAATGTTACAATAGATAAGGTAGAGACTTTAATGAGGCTGTGGAGCACACCACAGGGAATTATGAATTCTGACCAAGAGTACATCAGTACTATCCTGATGTCCTGTTTGAGCTGAGCTGAACCTTGAAATATCAGGATGAAGCACACATTAGGCAGATGTAAATGAATGGGCAAAGGTGTAGCCGTCAAAAACGCCATGGCACACTTAGGGATTGGTGCGTGGTTTTTTTTTTTTTTTTGCAACTACATAGGTAAATCTGTCAAGCTGTCTGATGTCAAATGTTGAATTTTCATGGACTAGAATGAGTTAAAGAAATCTGAATGCTTTTTGAGCAGTAGAATTGTACAAAATGAAGGGCCAAGGAAGGCAATGAGAGAAAGAGACAAAATGCTCCATGGAATAAAACTGTCATTCTCATCATGACTCATCTGTTAACTTATGAAAATACACTTACATCAAGAAATGCCAGAAAATTGCTCACTTCACGTGCTTATGGGTAGATTGAACCTAATTTTGTGGCATTAAAACCAATTTTCTGCTGAGAAAACATGTCACAGAGGATTACATGAACCTTTATAATTATTACTAATATTTAATACTTTGATGTCACCTTTCATCGTGAGATCAGTCCTATACACACAGGAATAGATAAGCTCCAAGGAAACAGAGATGATATTAATACACTAAGTCACAATGCTTTCCTCTCTTCCATATTCCAACGGCTTTCTGGCCATGTGTTTCTCTCACCGTTAGAAGTTAGTGGAAGTTGGCTCGGCGTGGTGGCTTATGCCCATAATTCCATCATTTTGGGGTGTCAAGGCAGGAAGATCATGAGGTCAGGAATTTGAGACCAGTTTGGCCAACGTAGTGAAACCCTGTCTCTACTAAAAATACAAAAACAAAATAGCCAGGTGTGGTGGCGGGCACCTGTAATCCCACCTACTGTGGAGGCTGAGACAGAATCACTTGAACCTGGGAGGCAGAGGTTGCAGTGAGCTGAACTCATGCCACTGCACTCCATTCCAGGTGACAGTTTGAGAATCCATCTAAAAAAAAAAAAAAAAAAAAAAGGTAGTGGATATAGTTGTAAAGCAGTGAATTAGCTCCTACTACAAGAAGTCTTAGGTTACAGTATGGGCCACATCTTTCTGTTCACAGCTCTCTCCTTGGAAGATCAGCTTTTGACATATCAGTTCTCCTACTCCTTGGCTTCTTTGCCTGCTGATCTCATCCTGACATATCAGGAGTGGGCCTTGTGACTTCCACAAGAGACTAACAAGGCATCATCATTTTTATCAACATCATCATCATCATCCTTGTCATCATTATCCTTCCAACTACAACCCCCCTACTGCTGCTTATGAACTATGCGCTCTATTTGCTATTCTACTATTCTAAGAACTTTATTTATATATAAGATAAAAATTTATTATATATATAATAAAAATTATACCATATTAACTAATTTCATACCAACATTATAAGGTAGTGCTATCCACTAGAACTTTCTGCAAGGATGGAAATGTTCTATATCTGTGTTGTCCAGTATGGTAGCCACTAGCCACGTGTAGCTATTGGGCAGTTGAAATATGGTTAATGCTACTGAGAAACTACATTTTTCTTTTATTTAATTTTAATTAATTTCACTGACATGGCCACATGGCTAGTGATTATTGTACTGGACAACACAGTTAGAGCCTCTGGGGCTTTATTGCTATCTTTTTAAAACAAACCTCTGTTTTCATCATCAGCATGAACTTAATAAGGACTAGTGTGAGTGAATGATTCTGAAATATATTCTTGAAGCTAAAAATACAGATGCTTCTTAACTTCCAATGATGCTTATGCCCTGATAAACTCATCATAAGTTGCAAATATAGTAGGTGCATTTAATACACCTAAACTACCAAGCATCATAGCCTAGCCTAGCTTACCTTAAACATGCTCAAAACACTTACATTAGCCTGCAGTTGGGGAAAGTTATCTAACACAAAGCTATTTTATAGTAAAGTGTTGAATATCTCATTTAACTTATTGAATACTGAACTGAAAGTGAAAAACAGAATGGTTGTATGGTCCATAGTCAAAATACAGTTTCTACTGAATGTATATGGCTTTTGCACCATGGTAAAGTATAAAAATATACGTAGAAGCATCATAAGTTGAAGATCATCTGTGTTTTAAAAAGAATTCCCATATTCTACATTCGGAGAGCTTTTAGTTCACCCTTCCCCCACTCTGTTAAAATTTGATTCAGAAGAATTCTGTGGAATATATAGGGTAACATGAAGTCATTTCTAAATAAAGAACATTTACAAAAGATGTGGATGATGTCTTAAACCTCATTGTAGTCCAGTGAGGTAGTGGTTGTCAGCCAATGAGTCCTAGTGAGTACCCAATGAGTCTTCGTCAGCACTGGTAAGCACTAGTCCCGCTATTGGAAATTGAAATTCCAATTATTGATTTTTCAAAGGAAGGCATTCTCCCCCACTTATGAAGTGGAACAATGAAAGAGGGCTTTCTGTTTTGAGTGACCAGGGAGAAAAAGAGTCTTTACACAAGGTCTTAGTTCACATTCAGCCGTCCTCTCCCTGAAACCACATCCCCAGGATTTATCTGGTTTGTATGTGAAAATATGGGAATACACTTCACAGCGAAGAAACTGATTGGATGACTTAATTACATTTCCGCTTAGTCCACCCTGTAACTTAGACTGTTACCACTGTTAGAGAGAGCAAACTTAAGTAGCCCTTGGTTTGAACCATCTGTCGCGAAAATGTGACATATGTTTGCTTTGTTTACTCAACAACCAAGTGTAAACTGATACACCGAACTAGAGGATCCATGAATGGTGTGGCTGTGGGTGTGTTTGTGTTGGAGGAGGGGTGTCTGATGAGGGCGTCAGTCTTCTCATACCTGCCCTGGAGGAACACGCGTACTACAAACGAGGAGTGCGGATCCGTAGGATGTCCCCCCGGGTTTGGGGCGCGCCTTGAGGCTAAGACCCTCTTTGGCGACTCCACACAATGCTCAGCTCGCCCGCAAGCAGCCGCTGCAGCCAAGGGGCGCTCCTGGCTGTTGTCTGGTTGAATGGAGAGCGGCCCAACCCTCCTCCTTTCTCCTCTTCTTCTCCCCGCCCTGACACCCGGGCCTCAAACTTCAACCAAAGCCCGTGCCCTTTTCAATTAACCCCCCTCGATCAAAACCGGCCATTCTTTTCTGTCCTCCGCGGCGGCCCATTGTCTGGCGAATAGGTTTGGAGATTTGACAGCTGGGCGCACACAGATTTGATTCAAACTCGGTCTCCCTGAGAGATGAACTTGGACATCAGCAAAGATCCCAAACACAAGCCCTGAGCCATCGGACGCCCACCCAGTACTGCAGCTGTTTCCCAGACCCGGTCTCCGGACCCAGTGTAGACTTTGGTGCCCCGAGCGCCCCCCGGCGTGCAGGAAGGGGAGCGTGCGTCCGGGATGAGGGGCGGAAGGCGAGCAGCAGGATTGGGAACCAGCGGTCCCAGGGGTTGGGGCGAAGAGCTGTGTATATGTTGGGCTTTTTTTTTTTTTTAAATTTACTCTCGAAACAGCCAAGATGGAGGTCAGCTTATAAATTTCCTAAAGCCAGGTCTCTCCGGGTTTAAATGCAGTGGGCTAGGGGTTCTGCTTTTGTCTGCTTGCCGGAGCCCAAGGAGAGAGGTAGAGACTGCGTGTGCATGCGTGCATGTGAGTGTGGGTGTGCGCGCTGGCGTGGACGAACGGGTGGGCGCATCCCGGGATCGCCGCTACTGCGTCCTGGGTCTGAGTGTATCTTCAACGTACCAAGTCTTGAATCATAGCCACTAGTGACGTGGGGGGAAAACTTTGTGTTCGGAAGAAGGATCTGGCTCGACTGCCCTAAGAAGAAAGAGCCCTTGTGCGTTGTGCCCTTCTCTGTGTGTGTGTGTGTGTGTGTGTGTGTGTGTGTGTGTGTGTGTGTATGTGTGTGAGAGAGAGAGAGAGAGAGAGAGAAAGAGAGAGAGAGAGAGTGTGTGAGAGTGAAAGTGTGTCTGGCAGTCCGCGGCCGGCTGCAGAACGCTGCGTGTCCTGTGCGCGCGAGCGGGTCCGGGCGCGGGTCCCACCGCAAGCGAGCGTGTGCAGCTGCGGCGACCTGGCGGGCGAGCTTCGGAGAGGGCTGGCGTTGCGGGGCAAGGGGAGCAGGAGCAGGCCAAGGGTCCGCTGGCTAGAAGAAATCTGGCCTCGGAACACGCCATCCCCGCGCCGCTTCCAATAACCACTAACATCTCTAACGAGTATCCGAGCCTGAAGCTCTGCTCGGAAATCATCCTGACCCAACTCGGCCTTTGGAGCTCTCAAAGATTACTGCATCTTTTTTTCCCTAGTGCGGAGAAAGTGAGCCGGGAAAGGGAAGGAGGGGGCGGGGACATCATCCCCCGAAAGAATAAATAAGTAAATAAACAAACTGGCTCCTCGCCGCAGCTGGACGCGGCCGGTTGAGTCCAGGTTGGTGGCATTTGGAGAGAGTTTTTTCGTTCTGTTTGGGAACCCATGGCTGCTTCCCGTCCCTCATCCCCACTCCTACTTCCCCTTCCCCAGGCCACCAATTTCGGTTTTGCAGGCGTCTCCCAACTTTGGGGCTGGGAGGGGGGGCGCTCGTGGCTCCAGGCAGCACCTGCCGCGACGCGCGGGGACTGCGGGCCGGCGCGCTTGCCCGGGGTGGGGGTGCAGAAGCGCCCGAGTCCCGGGCACCGGGCGAGGGTGTGAGAGGCGCGGATGCCCATGAGGGAGCCGACGACGCACGGAGGGTAGGGGCGCACCAACTGGGTTTCAGCCCCAGTCCGGACATCGGTTCCCGCTGGCTTGGCGGCCTCGGGAAAGAGACGAGTCCCGGGGAGGGGGGCGGGGTGGCCACAGGGGCTAGCGATTGGCGATCTGGGTGGGGAGGATTGGCGGCTGAGGGAGCTCACTGGCGGGCGCGAAGAAGGGGCGGCCAACTTCCCGGGAAAGGGGGCTCTTTCGGCGCCAGGGCTGGCTGGGGAGCTGCCGCCGCCGCCACTGAGGGCTCGGACTCCAGCAGCCGCCGGCTTCGCTCACCACGCTCGGAAAGTACCGTTTATTTATTTATTTGCTTGCGTTCAGCCTCTCGGGTTTCATCGATAGACACCCCGTGGTCTTTAGGAACGCTCTTCAGACCTCTCCAGCCCTCACCCTCATCCCCGTGTCAACGGCCCCTGGAATACACGCACATGCACCCCGACCCGGGTGGGGGTGGGTTCTCCTCCCGGCGTTGGAAAGTCCCCAAAGGAGGGAATGGGGGAGGGGAGAGGGGCGGTGGGGGGAGTCTCCGGCGCTCTCGGCTCTCCTCTGAATGCGCGCTCTCCCTTCCAGGTTGGGTCGGACCTGAATCCCTAAAAGCGGAACCGCTTCCCAACCGCGCGCCCGCCGCCCTCCCGCAGCTGAGTCGCCCGCAGCGGTGGCGGCGCCAGACCCGGAGTTTCCTCTTTCACTGGATGGAGCTGAACTTTGGGCGGCCAGAGCAGCACAGCTATCCGGGGATCGCTGCATGCTAAGCTCCCTCGGCAACATCCAGCAGCGACTCAGGATTTTTTTGGGGGGGTGGGGACCAGCCGCGCGCCGGCACCATGTTCCTGGCGACCCTGTACTTTGCGCTGCCGCTCCTGGGTAAGTCGAGGCCCGCCGCGGGCTTTCTTATTCGCCAAGTCTTTCAAAGGGTCGCTTGCAGTAGCCCACCCCGGTCCCCGCACCAAAATTGGGGCGCGGGTGCGGTGGATGTGGGAGGAAGAAGTTTCGTTTTGGGGAAGGGGATTGCGAATCCCCGGACTAGGGAGGCGGTGGCGGCGCGGCGCTGGCCGAAGCTTTTCGGGCTTGGTTTTGATTTCCTGTGGTTTTTAATGACCCAGCTCGGCGGGGGACTAAGGAGCCGTCCGGCCCAGGGCCCTGCACCCCCAGCGAGTTCCCGGGAGCTCGCGGAGCCGCGGCGGGCAGGTGGAGTTGGGGAGCATTGGGGCCGGGAGAGCAAACTTGGAAGTGAAAACTTTTCCCCCGAGTAGCTTCTGGGCGTTCCCCGCCCGGCCGACCGCTGACCACGGCTGGCCTGCTCTACGCCCCGCGCACGGGGTTCCCAGTCCGCCGCCGCGCTTCTCCTCGGAAAGCCCCTGAGTTTTAGCTGGGCAGAGCGGGTGGCTGGAGCCGGGGGTGGCCTGGGAGCCCGGGTCGTCGCTCGGGCCAGGATGCCCCGGGGCGGAGGGCAGGCATGCGCGGTGGGCAGCGCAGGCTCTGGAGCAAACCCTTAAAGCCCGCGGGCTGAGCCTGCGCCACCTTTCCCCGCGGGCCGGGGAGGAGGGGAGAGGAGCTGGAGTTCCAGGGGGCGGGAAAATGGATGGTCTAGAGGTGGACCCGCTCCCTGAGCAGGGCGTCCCCGCGGGCTGGTCGAGCATCCCTGACCTGGGCGCGCGCCCTCGCCCGAAGCAGGGAAGTCCCGGGTCCCCGCCCGCGGCACTCAGGCTCCCTCTCCTCCACCCCGCAGACTTGTTCCTGTCGGCGGAGGTGAGCGGCGGAGACCGCCTGGACTGCGTGAAAGCCAGTGATCAGTGCCTGAAGGAGCAGAGCTGCAGCACCAAGTACCGCACGCTGAGGCAGTGCGTGGCGGGCAAGGAGACCAACTTCAGCCTGGCATCCGGTCTCGAGGCCAAGGATGAGTGCCGCAGCGCCATGGAGGCCCTGAAGCAGAAGTCGCTCTACAACTGCCGCTGCAAGCGGGGTATGAAGAAGGAGAAGAACTGCCTGCGCATTTACTGGAGCATGTACCAGAGCCTGCAGGGTACGCGCAGAACCTCCCCAGCCCACCCCGTGTCCTTCCCAGAAGGCAGGCGGGCCCCTTCGTCCCCGAGCCAGCTGATCTCATTCTCCACTCACTTCTCCTCAGCTGCGGAATGAGGACCTTTCATTGGCCCCCAGGGACAATGGCAGCTGGTGTTTGTTGAGCTGACCAGCATTGTTGGGCCTGGTTGTTGGCAAACTCATGAGGAGGTGGGGAGGGGGGGCACGCCGGGACCCCGTTGACCTCTCTGAAACCTGATCAGAGCATGGGAGGAGGATCCCCCTAAAGGCCCCCAAGGAACCCACAAGTTCTTTCCAAGGAAAGCCAGCCTGAGGCTTTCGCTGGCCTCAGAATAATAATAGGGATGTTTGCCCGTGCCCCTGCATCTGATCTGGACTTTCCCCCGTCCTGTTTCCTTTAACCTGCTCTGACATAAGATAAAGAATTATAAAAGGTCCAGGAGAATCCATTCTATCTTCACCCCATCAAACGTGATCAGAGGCAGATGTGTGAAAACCCGTTTGCCATAATCTTAGATTAGCAGAGTCTTGAACCAGCTGGTGTGGTTCAACCTTGGTTACCACAGAAGTAGCTTAGGGAGAGAAAGATCCACTTATCCCACCATCCAGTTCAATGGGAATGTTTTTGTCCTTGTAAGCCAGAGGTAGTTCATGTCTGTAAACCTAACACAAACACTGTGTGTTCATTCTCGACTGAGACACTGGAGATTTGTATTACACAAATGTGACCTGTCAGCTGCCACTTCCTCCAGAGTCTATCAATGGAAGTCTCTTTCAGAGGGGCTGGTTAATAGCCATGGTACCTGCTTTCCAACTGTATGCCAAGTTTTGGGAGTAAGCAGAAATGTGGGTCTCTCCTGGGTCACCTTTCTTCTATTGGCTCCTGAAGGCAAACAGGGCTTGTGACGTCACCGGCTCCTTCCTCTCTGATTTCTATTCCTTTGCAAAGAGTGGGAGAGTTTTCTGGCAAGATTGGGCCGAGTTGTTCTCCAGTGTTTTCATGGCACTCTGGGGAGAACAAGGACAACAAAGGCAGAGAGAATGAAAAGAAACCATAGCCAAAGAGATGCATTTAAAACCAAAGTTTCAGCGTCTTTTTGTTACACAATCATAACATAATTAGAATTCAGATTCAGCAGCAAAAAACTTCTTGAAATATATCTTTCAGATCTGAGCCCAATCTTTCTGTTGTTTGTAGGAAATGATCTGCTGGAGGATTCCCCATATGAACCAGTTAACAGCAGATTGTCAGATATATTCCGGGTGGTCCCATTCATATCAGGTAAGCAGATTTATACTTCCACTCTGATGACTTTGTGTGCTTGAATTCGTTGGCTCGTATTCTCTTTGGCACAGTGTTTCTGGGAAATTAGAAATAGGATGATGATAATGAAGAGGCAGAATGCCTAGAGGTGATTGTATGACTTGAAAGTAATTCTAAATGAAGTAATGTGGTGTGGTGGTTTGGTAGAGGTTCGAGGGAGATGACTTGGTTTTTTTTTTTTTTTTTTTTCCATGTTAAAATATGATTGGCCAGCTCTTGCAGAGGGAGTGCCATTTCTGTCTGTAGGTGGCAATCGTATTCTCTTCTTGCTGCATACCTTCATGGTGCCTCCCTGGAAATGGAATATATTCAGATTATGCCACTTACTTTACAAGAGGCCTGAAGATAATCTTAGATTGTTGAAAAATTTGGGATGAATTCACTTGTCTGCCTTTGATTTAAAAGTTTAAGCTCTGCCATTTGTTAACAATTCTTTTGCTTCTATTTTTTCCTGAGCAAGTGTGTGCATTTAAAAGAGGATGTACTCCTACCCCAACAGCCCTTTTAAATGTAGTCACTTCCCATGGTTTGTTTTGTCTCTCTTTGCAGTTCTTTGGGTGGTTTGGAAATGAACTTAGTTTTAGAATTAAGATTTTCATAACATCTGCATTCAGACAGCCCATGAATAAGCAAGGCAGTAATTTATCTTTATGACATACGGAGTTCAGCCTAATGTTGTCTTTATTTACAGTTTAGACATTTTCTCAAGTATGTATAGCCACCACAAATCATACATCTCTCAGTGGTTAAACGTGATGGTTAATGTTGAATTTGATTCTATGAGATTATGGTTTGTAACTGGTGAGAGTGTTCTGGTGTTCTAAATGTTTTTATGTTTTTTTGTTTGCTTGTTTTTTTTTTTTCTTTTTGTTGTTGTTTTTGTTGCAGAAAAGCCACAGACAGAATCAAGGGAGTGTGTAAATACTGATATTTTATTTGGGTGTATTATACATGCATTCATCCATTCCATTGAGCACCTACTATGTTCTAGCTATTGTGGTTTTGGCAGTGAGCCAGTCATCACTCTTGCCCTCATGAATCTTAGAGATAGGCAGCAACTGACTTTATTAAGCCCTTATTATTTGCCAAGAACTCTTTTAAGAGTGTTATATCATTAATTTATGTAATCATCAAATACCTGCTTCTTAGGTATTATTATTTCCATTTTATAGATGATTAAATTGAGGCATATTGAAGTTAGGAAACCATCCCTGAATCATAAGGCTTAAATGATAGAACCGGAATTGAAACCCAGATTTGTTAGATTCTAAGCTTTTGTAACATCTACCCTTTGCTACTCAGAGTGTGGTTCTTAGACCAGCATCATTGACATTGCCAGGGAATTCATTAGAAATACAGGATTTCATTTTAACTACTGAATCAGAATACACAATTTAACAAGATCCCTGGGCTGGGTGCTTCACATGCACATGAAGCTTGAGAAGCACTCCTCTACATTATTCTGTCTTTTCCTTCAGAGGAAAAGTGTGTGTGTGTGTGTCTGTTTCGGCATAAGATATAAGGATACAAGTTTAGTATAAGAGAAATTCAAATGTTTCCCTGAGTAATGCCAATAATTTCCCCTCCATGTCACTTCTAGTGCTTTCTGTCCCCTTGATCCAGCCAGGACAGTGGTTTAAGCAGTGGAGAGGAGATGTACAGACAAACGTTTGTGACCACCTAAGCTCTCCTGGGAGCAGTTCTGTAGAAAGTATGATGGGGTGTGGCCAATGGGGTGCCAGAGGCAAACCTGACCTTCATCCTGCTGTTGAGGGACAATGCCGCTTGCCTACTGCCTGCCCTGTGGACTCCTCAGTCTTTGTACTGATGCCTGGAAGGGTATGGATCTCTCTATGGTCATTGATAAGTGAGAAAACAGGCAAGGAAGAAGGGTTTTAATTTCAGAATTTCTATAAGCAATGGATTTTTTGGTTTGTTTTTTTGAGACAAAATCTCAGTCTGTCACCCAGGGCCCAGGCTGGAGTGAAGTGGCATGGTCTTGGAGCACTGCTACCTCTGCCTCCCGGGTTCAAGTGACTCTCCTGCCTCAGCCTCCAGAGTAGCTGGGATTACACGCGTCTGCCACCATGCCTGCCTAATTTTTGCATTTTTAGTAGAGAAATACATGTCACCATCTTGGCCAGGCTGGTCTTGAACACCTGACCTCAAGTGATCTGCCTGCCTCTGCCTCCCAAAGTGCTGGGATTACAGGTGTGAACCACTGTGCCTTGATGCAATGGGGTTTTTATTAGTTTTTAAAAAACCTTTTTTTAAAGACAGTGTCTTGATCTGTTGCCCAGGCTAGAATGCAGTGGCCTGATCACAGCTCACTGTTGCCTTGAACTCCTGGACTCAAATGATCCTTCTACCTTAGTCTCCTGAGTAGCTGGGACTACAGGTGTGCCACTACACTGGCTAGCAATGGAGTTTTTTTGTTTGTTTGTTTTTTGTTTTTTTGAGACAGAGTCTCACTCTGTCACCAGGCTGGAGTGTAGTGGTGTGATCTTGGCTCACTGCAACCTCTGCCCCCGGGTTCAAGCAATTCTCCTGCCTCAGCCTCCCAAGTAGCTGGGACTGCAGGTGTGCACCACCATGCCCAGCTAATTTTTGTAGTTTTTAGTAGAGACGGGGTTTCACCATGTTGGCCAGGATGGTCTCGATCTCTTGACCTCGTGGTCCACCCACCTCGGCCTCCCAAAGTGCTGGGATTACAGGCATGAGCCACCGCCCCTGGCCCAATGGAGTTTTTTACACTCATTTTCCCTCTCAGAGTAGCTCTTTCATTGGTATAATGAGGCAATTGAAGTAAATAATCTGTAGTAATAATAGTCCATGGATCTGAGGAAAGGTTGGGCTCATCTCTAGAATTCCTCCATAGTGCCCTTATATCACCTTCTCCATCCTTGCAATCATTTCTATTCTTAAAGAGGCCTTGTCATTCTCAGATACTACTGGTTTGTCTGAATTTATGAGTATTGGACCTTCTTCTGCACTGGCCGAGTTTCACTTATGCATTCCTTGGATCCCATTCTCAGGCCAGGTTTCTTTTCATAGCAAGTCTGATCTGGAGTTTGTGAGCCCTGTCCTACCTAGAACCCAAAAATCATAATGAATTGGCCAGAGCCAGAAAGACCTTGTCTAGAGCTCCATTTTCTATCTTAAGGGCATTGGCTTTAGGTTCCAGCACTAATGAGATTTGACCTCTGACAGTGACTGTGTTCCTTAAGTGGGACAGTAAAGCCAAATGGAAGCTTGAGAGGCTTTAAGTCATTGAATAATGCATATTATCCAGTTTGGCTTTTGTAGGATGGAAAAGGATGGAGGAACGAGATGATAAATGTTGCTTTTCACGGTTTCAATCTGAGCTTTCCAGAACATCTCTTCTGTCTTGAAAATTTATCTGAGGAAACCAGGACAACATTGTCTCTGCTTTCCACAGATATGGTAGCAATCAGTTTCCATATTTGGATTTCTCTGCCTAACATGAAGAGCATGTTTATCCACATACATTAAGGGTGAGCTGAATCTTCCCACCGAACAAGACATGTTTGACATTCTTGTGTTTCCATTTTCCTTGGATTCCTCAAACCCACAGTCTTTTCATCTGTTGTTTGCTTGCTAATCACATAAAAGGCCTTGCTGAGGTATTATCAGTGGCCCTTTGGGAAAAAGAAGGAGAACAAAAATAAGATGGAATGTAAAAACCATCCTCTCTGTTTTGAAGCTTGAACTGCAGAAGGGAAACCAAGTAGCCAAGTCAGGAGAGAATTGCAGAGGGAGAGTGGAGGGCTGCTCTCCAGAAACCTGAGAGCGGAAGCTTTCAGCCCCTGAGGCACTATTAAGGGCTTGAGGAGGTGCGTTTCCTGTGGGGTGAGGCTAGTGTGGTTTTAGGGGCCTGGAACATGAAGTGAGCAGGAGGACATGCAGGAAAAAGTGAGCCAGTGCAAGAGGATGTCGGAGGAGGGGTGGGAGCACAGAGAGTGTCCTGGGATCCCAGAGGGCAGAACTGTGTGGGCGCTCAGTGGCTCAGAGGTGGAAGCCTGCACGCACATTGCACTGTTTCCCATCTGCTGTCTCCCATCCAAGCTCTCTGCTCTTGCACCTCTGTTCTGGCCCTGCTTTTCTTCCTCAGAAAAGTTCAAGACAAAACAGGAAGTAAATAGGGATTTGAAAGAATGATGAACCTATTGGCAATTTATTTATTTAATTCTTTGGAGGGGTAGAGCTAAGCAGTGAGAAATTTTGAAAATACACTAAGTGCCAAGAAAAGCCAGAGGATGGGGATCAGAGGGAGGTTAGAAGCACCCCTTCAGCAGCAAGGTTCAAAACTATTGATTGGGAGACTGGACTTTTGTAGAGAAGTAAGGAGATGCTAGACTTTCCTTAAAATACAATCACAGTTGATGATATTGCATGCAAGAATCAAGTGGATAGATTGTAGGGAAAGAGTAATGTTAGGTTTTGAACATCCTGATTTGCTGAAAGAAAATGTCCTAGCTCTGGCTCTCATCATTTTCCTACCAAGTCTTAGGAGTGGCTTTGACCTTTCCGGGAAGCCTGAGGATCTCCAGATTGGTTCTTAAGTAATTGGAAGTGGTTTGCTCCAGGATGAGCTATGCCTAAACTCTCCTTTGAGTCTTGCCGCTTTTTTTTTCTGAGTGATTCTGTGAATAATTAGTCATGTTTAGCATTTCTGTTCAAATGCACCATCATATATATGTTATTTAAAAAAATTATTACAATTATTACAAAGTTTACATGTTGGAGAAGAGCCTTGTAACATCACCTGCTTTCTTGTGAGGTCGTGACAAGAGAGAAAGCCTTGTAAATACCAGCTATTAGGGGTCGCGGTGGTCCTTTCCTTGCCACCCAGCTCTCATCATGGTGTTCCTATATTTGAGAACCCCCATTAGTTTCCTGTTATCTACTCTGGCATATGGTAAACTACTTAGCAGGCC